TGGACATCGAAGCAGCACACACAGATCTTCCTACAGATGTCAATCCACCAACGAAGGAAGAATTCAGAATGGCCATCAGACAAATCAAGAACGGGAAAGCAGCAGAACCCGACAACATACCAGCTGAAGCACTGAAGTTAGACATCGAATTAACTACAAACATGCTTCACCTACTATTCAAAAAGATTTGGGAGGAGGAACAAGTACTGATGGACTGGAAAGAAGGACACCTCATCAAGATTCCAAAGAAAGGAGATGTGAGCAAATGTGAAAACTACAGAGGCATTACACTACTGTCAATACCAGGGAAAGTTTTTAACAGTGTTGCTAAACCGAGTGAAAGACGCAGTAGACGCCCAACTTCGAGATCAATAAGCCGGATTCCGTAAGGATCGGTCGTGCACAGACCGAATTGCGACACTACGGATCATCGTCGAACAATCAGTTGAGTGGAACTCGTCACTATACATCAACTTCATTGATTATGAAAAGGCATTCGACAGTGTAGATAGGAAGATATTATGGAAACTTCTTCGACACTATGGAGTTCCTGAGAAGATTGTCAATATTATCCGGAACTCATGCGACGGACTACAGCGCAAAGTCGTGCATGGAGGACAGCTGCATCACAAGTAAGCACTGGAGTCAGACAAGGCTGTCGACTCTCTCCCTTCCTCTTTCTTCTGGTGGTCGACTGGATTATGAAGACCTCGACATCTGAGGGAAAATACAGCATACAATGGACAGCTCAGAACCAATTAGAGGATTTGGACTTCGCAGATGACCTGGCCCTCCTATCGCATACACACGAACAAATGCAGATAAAGACAACCAGTGTAGCAGCAGTCTCTGCATCAGTAAGCCTCAGTATACACAAGGGGAAAGCCAAGGTCCTCAAATTCAAAGCGGAAAACAGCAATCCAATCACTCTTGATGGCGAAACTCTGGAAGATGTAGAGTCCTTCACATACCTGGGAAGCATCATCGATGAACAAGGAGGATCAGATGCAGACGTACAGCCGAGGATTGGCAAAGCAAGGGCCCCATTCCTTCAGTTGAAGAACATATGGAACTCAAAACAACTTTCAACCAATATCAAAGTGAGAATCTTCAATATCAACGTCAAGGCAGTTCTACTATACGGAGCTGAAACTTGGAGAACTACAACAACCACAATCAAGAAGGTAAAAGTATTTATAAATAGCTGTCTACGCAAGATACTCAAAATCCATTGGCCGGATACCATCAGGAACAACGTTTTGTGGGAGAGAACAAACCAGCTTCCAGCTGGAGAAGAAATTAGGAGAAGACAATGTAGATGGATAGGACATACATTACGCAAATCGTCAAACTGCATCACAAGGCAAGCCCTAACTTGGAATCCTGAAGGGAAGCGTAAAAGCGGAAGGCCAAAGGACATATTACGTCGGGAAATAGAAGCAGATATGAAAAAAATGAAAAACAACTGGAAGGAGTTGGAAAGGATTGCTCAGGACAGGGTTGGATGGAGAATGCTGGTGAGCAGCCTATGCTCCTTCACGAGAAGTAACAGATGCGCTCTGATTGATGAACGAACAGTTAACAAGGTGAAAATATGACTCAAGTAGAATGGATAGATTGGCTTGTCCGAAAGCTAGAATAAGGTATATGGGCTTAACATAATGACCGACACTACAAAGGACTTGTAATTTCTTTAGAATTGTTAAATACAGGGTAAATGAGCACAGCAGAATTAACTGTTAACTAGTATCCACAATACCCTCAGCTTGGCAATTCAGTGAGTATTACTCTCTATCAATTTAATTCCCATATTCACTCGCCCTCCTGAAATATAGGTACCATGATTACACTAGTATTTGACCTTTTATCTCTATATTGCATTAAGTTGGATTATCACTAGAATGTATGTGTAACCCCCAAATGCCAAGGATGGGGGGGGAGCCACCTCTCATCAAAATGTTCTCACATGGCCACGCGTATACAACTACTGCAGACAAGTCCTACCCATTACCTTCTCGCAGTGTGGGTGTTGTTTACGAAATTGAGAGGACGAAAAGCGAGTATCAGGAGCTTTATTCGGTTCGGTGGATATGGAGGATCCACCTAGAGTAGTTGAAAAACCTTGATTCCAAACCGATGGTGCACATTGGCTCCAGGATCCTGAAAGAACAAATGGCGTATGAATCTATTGTTGTTCACCGGCTACCATTGGACTTGATCTCCTGATGTTGCTTGTGGATTAGACCTGTGGGTCAAAGGCTCGGGATGTGGCTCCCTAAGAAAACTACCTCTTTCAGTTTGGGCGCGCGGGTAGTATTTTAGCCCTCACATATCGAATAATTCGTGTGGCGCATATGTTTCCGGTGCCCCCTTGTACCAATATTTATGTATTAAAATAAATAAAAGCCAAAAACCTGTACTAAAAGCCCAAATTCTAAAATTCAATTCCGACAAAATATATAAGGTAACGAAAATATAAGGCAAAGGAATATGTATACCCTTTACTTCACTTCCAGCTATTACGTGAAGTTATAGCCGACTTCATGTCTATACGGTAACTTTATGTAATAGATTACGTAGGGTCTGGAAAGGTACTTCATAGAACCTCATATGATAAAAATAAAAATTGTTGTTTTGATTATCAAACCCTTAAACATCATTAAAAACTGAGTAAAAATTATGCCATGTTAGACGTACTTTATTGATGTATTTCTAAATAAAAGTTCAACATCAAATTCCCAACGTGACTGTATACTAGTTTAGTGGTGGATTTATCTGAAGATCGTTTCGCCAACCTTAAAATCTTGACGCGAAATCTAAGTATTGATATTCAAATCATAATACCCGAAACGTTCGAACAAATATATACTGATAAAATGTAGAAAAGCTGTGAGTATTGAAATTCAAAACATTCATTTGACCTATTTTAAGGAAATAAAATTATTGACATATGAAAGTATAAACATATCTCGTGGCTGTCAAGTGCACTGAATTTATGATGGTCGATTTTTACTAATTAGAGTAAGTCAGGCAGTTACTATGACACCTTGGCAACAGCAAACACTAGTCCTCAAAATGAGCTTCCACCATCTTTAATGTTGCTAAGTAATAGAGAAACAATGGAATCTCACACCTTTTTGCTGTCACTTCTTTCTTGTTGGATTCCCTTTTGTATGTTACATTATGTTACTTACTAATATTCAGTAACTAATATCATAATCAGTCATTTTTAGGCAATAGCGTCCAGCAACATTCAGTAGTTGTATGGTATTTACACAGATACGTGTTACGTAATGCATTATGACAACCATATCCGCTTAAGATGATTGAAAGTTGCTTTTACTTTAGTATATACACTGAACATTTGTTTATCTATAACAGTTTTCGTTTAACACCAGGATTTATACTTTCTACCTCAGTAGTTTAGAACCGATCAACTGAGTATTCCGTTAATAAACACCTGTAAATGTTGTCCTAAACCAATATTAAAGTCATTAATTATCACCTAGTTCGTGAGTTTACTTTAGTCGGTAAAGTGGATGTAGGTTTAATACAATGGGAAAACCCATAAGTTAGTGTACAAGTTGAGATCCAATCAAATGTAACAGCTCCGATGGATAGATGAAAAACGTTTATTAGTAACATTTCTTAATGTTCAAAACTCGTATAATGTGAGTTACTAGTTTGCTATAGATAACTTAAGGTGTCGGGTCCATGAATGTAATGTTGGGAAATTATTAAATTTAATACATCAAGCACAACGATAATCTAACCATTCGTTTAAGTCATGATTGAATATAATATTTAATAACCTTTATGTTCAAATTTTTAAAAAAACAGGTGAGCATCAATGAAGTAGATTTTGGAAATAATTCCAGTATTGAACGATTTTCAAAGTATATACAAACAATGTTTGTTTATACTAGTTAAGACCGGAGCGGAAAGTAAATTATATTGTTGTCAAGCCAAATAATATTTTTTTGTTTTAGTAATTAAAGATTAGTGAACATCCCATCAGAGATTCATCGTGGAGTTTTTCCAAATAACAGGTACCTCATTTACAAAAAAATTATTTAAGGTTAGCAGATGACCAATCGTTAAAACAGTAGCTCTTAATCTGTATATAAAATAATCCACATTCCCAAAACAGATCAGCAAAAAACTAGACTAACGTATCTACAGTTGTAAAGTGGCTGTTAAGAATAGTCGACAAAAAATTCATACTAATTGTGATTCGTTAGCAAGATGTACCTGTAATCTTGATACTGATATTCCCTGGAGGATTCAAGCCCGTGTCACCCAGCTTCACAGTCAGAGACTTGACATACAGGAAACTGGTCACTACTCAGTGATCAACTAACTGCAAGCGTCCAGAGTTCGATTTCCAAAGAGGCGAACCGATAAACGCAGAGTAAACCGAAGCATCGAGTACGAAATGATCTTGTCTAACTGATATGTATATACAAAGACAGATATAATTGTCTTTACTTGGAGCTTCTAATTTTTCTCAAATTATTCATTCGATTACATGATTCATACAAAAGTTCTTGACAAACCTGAAAAATAAACTGATCTGAACTCATACAGAAATAAGTTGTAAAATGTTTGCGAACCAATCATAAAAAGCCAAAAAACTTCCAACCTAAAAAGGAACTATGACCCGATTTGGGTTCAGTTATATGGTAAAGGTTTAGACAGAAATACTAGAAGCACAACCTTCAGGAAAGCGCTTATCTTACCCAATAGACAGTAAACACTGAATAATAATATTAAACTAGGACACTAACATATAACAAGGACAATTAGCGACCTTTGGTGGAATCCTCAACAAACTTAACTATGGTCATATAAAAATCAAAGTTCAAGCATTGAAGTCAGAAATGTTAAAGAGGAAGGATAGTTTCGGAATAACTAAGCACACAACTGTTCCGTCATCTTGCTCTTCCTCTACTCTTGGAATTCACATAACATACATTGCTTTAAATTGAAGAGAAATCACTTGCATCTACAAAATATATTTTGAAGGTAAAAAACACTATTAGTTAAAAGTCTTATAAAATGACATGAAAAGTATGTTAGCTTTTACTAAAGTCCATATAAAAATGAATATGAAAAGTAACTATTATAATACTACTGAAGAATTAGTCAAACCAATCCAACTATTTCGAAGCCAATTAGTTAATTGTTGTAAACAATTCAAAACATTTGAAAGCTCCAGTTTGAAATCGTGCAGTTCTGTTGAATTTGAAGTTTTTGTCTTACATTTATCATATAAGATTTTAAGATTTTTAAATGATGATTTTACATGAGGAAAATAAACTGATTTATAACCAGTAGTTCCTTGGATGACATTTTTCAAAGATGATTTTTCACATTGACCAGCAGCAACAAAATGTTTAGAAACACCAACAAGTATACGATTCAGATAGGAGGGAAAACTAAAATTCAAGATAAAAATAACGAAAACAATTGTACTGTTTATTAGAAATAGTGCACTGACTTTTTTCAATGGATTGTTTATCACATTATATGGTAAAATTTAACTATTAACCACAATCATTGATGTGACTATTCTTCGTATGATCTCATAATAATAAAAGCACCCCGTTATAATGAAACTGTAGTGAGCGGCTAAAAGAAATAACACATAGTGTATAGACTAATTCAGACAGATACTAAAATCCTACGACCTGAAAGATCCGATTTTTCAAAGGTAAAATTAAATGACACAGTTCTTCATAAGGTAAGCAAAATTACAGTTATTTGTTTTTGCGTCGTATAAAACTAATAGAAGCCGCTTTGTAGTCAATTTGACCGTTCTTCGGTTACTCACCAACCATGAAGTCGCTAACAAATATGTTTCGGTCCAATTCTTCAAATATAAAAACAACATGGAGAAAGAAGTAAGGGCACGGATAATAAAACTAAAAATCAAGATTAGTTCAAAAGAAAACTATCACAGACATCAAATTCAATACAATGATGACAAGATGATAGTGGATGCAACTCCAGTACTGTTGGAGAATTAAAAGTTATTCATACTTTTTTTTAAAAAAAAATCAAAACGTCGGGAACAGACACGTCAGTCTCTGTGCAAGAAAAAAGTGATAATTCTTTATTGCTTAGACGATGGACTAATCGAGAGCACAAGCCAGTCACTCAGTTGCAGTTGGACCCTAGCACCAGATCCTACGAATCTGCTCAAAGGGGAGGTGTTAGCTGATTGGCTAATTCTTATCCAATCAGCACTAGTCGGTAGGTGGAGAATATTCTGGAATCTTCTTATGTAAAAACTATAAATATACTGACGTTTTTCCCTATTGTGCTTCTGGCTTGCATCTTGCTTCCATCTAACCTTGTTATTTGGAATATAATATCCTTCCTGTTCAACCGTGTTCTGATTTGGGGACTTGTCGAGTGAATCGGTGTCCAAGAATACTAAGCAATAGGAATAGCTGGGTCATAACCGTAAGAAGAAAGAGATTATAACAAGTACTGAGACTCATTTCTCCAAATCACTAAAAAATCAATTAATTAAATCATCTACCGAAACTCGAGAAAATTCCCACACTTCTTGACAACGATGAGATTAACAGTCACTGTTGTCATAGACTTGTACAGCTTTAAACTAATCAGTCCCTTTTTTTTCAACTAATTACCACATTTGTGTTAGTCAACGCAGCTATTCTGAATGAGCGGTGTGTCACACATGTCTCAACGACATAAGTTGGAAATTATAGATTTAATCAATTGACTTGCCACTGCTAAACAGTATACAAGTTACAGTTTCTTGACTGAAATGCTTTATTAATGCAAACATGAACAGTTCTTAGAAGGAAATATGAAAACTAAGTAGTAACAGGGATATAAAAATCGGGAGACAATTGTGCTAAACATTTTATCTATTCCTAAACCTACCTAGTGCAATTTCTTTCCATAGTATTTGCGAAATCTTCAAAATCTTGAGATGACTTCTTAAACTTCTGGATTTCTTCCAAAACCCAATCTAAGAAAAGAAAAGAAACATGACAAAATCACTTTCATTTAAACAGAAAGAAATTTAGCTAGAAAATCGTTTTCTCTCAAATGGCTTTCCATAAAAGTTTAAAATATTCGGCAAATTATGTAAATTTATACCAATATTTGTCAATATTAGAACGAAAAGTTTGAGAGAAAATGGGCGTCGAGTATAAAGACATTGTCTGTGAAAATTATATTTGAAACAATCTCAGCGATTGAAATTTAAATAATTCCAACGTTTCGTCCAGCAAACGTGTCTGAACTCCTTTAAGGTAATAATCAAAATCAGAATTATCAAAGAATGTATCACGTTCAATAATCAAATCAGATCTATGTTGTGCTTATCCAATCATATTCAGATGGTGGTTTTAGTAAGCAGGATAACATGAGCCAGTTATATGCGAATCATCTAAAAAGTCCACAATGTGAAGGTAAATGAATGAATGATTATGTGTGTATGTGTAAAGCTATCTGAACTTCTTCAGAAAGCTAAAAGTTCAGACATAGTACTCGCAGCAGGTGACTTTAATGCTCAGATAGGTAGTTTAAACCAAACAGAAAGGCATTTGGGTGGGTATTTTAGTATTCTGGCTCAGCGAACAGATAATGGTGATCGTCTGCCGCAACTGTGCTCAGACAATCGTTTATTTTTAGCAAACACAAATTTTAAGCATAAGGAGAGACATCGTCTAACATGGCGACCCCCTACACCAAACCAACGATGGACTCAAATAGACCATATTGCCATCAGTCATCGTTGGAGAGGGTCGGTAGAAGATTGTCGTTCATTCTGGAGTACCTACTTGGACTCCGACCGCGCCCTAATACGGGCACGCATCTGCTTGCGCCTCACTGGACGCAAAAAAGCCTCAGCAAAAAGACCCATGAGAACTAAATTGAGTAGCGACAAAACGAAAAGTAGGTTCCAGGAACAACTGAGGTCACAATTAGGTAGTTCTGAAAACGAGGTTGACCCAGATGTTGCTTGGAAAGCTATACAAACAGCTGTGGAAACAGCAGTGACATCTATCTGTGATTTAAACCACAGGGTTACAAAGAACCAATGGATCTCCCCAAGGTCTATTGCACTGATGGATTCTCGTAAACTCATCCCATCAGGCTCTGAACACGATGAAGAGCGACAACAAATCAGATCTAGGTTAAGCAAAAGTCTAAGGAACGACCGTGAGTAGTGGTGGGCAACGAAAGCAAAAGAGATGGAAAAGGCGGCGACTACAGGGAACACAAGACAGCTCTACAAACGAATAAAAGAAACTGGAATTAATAAGCAAAGTGTAAGTCAGACTATTTCGGAAAAAGACGACACTTTGATCTGCCCTCAGTCCAGACGTTTAGAGCGATGGGCGGAACATTTCAGAGAACAGTTCAGCTGGCCTTCAGCTATTCTACAACTACCCTCCATTTACAGACAGTGTGAATGGAATATTGAAGTATGTCCCCCAACTTTAGCTGAAGTTCAAAAGGCTATAGTTAATCTGAAACGAGGAAGGGCAGTTGGTCCAGATGGATTGGCTCCAGAGGTCTTTAAGGATGGTGGTCCAATTTTAGCGATTAGGTTGACTAATATTTTAGCTAAGATCTGGGAGTTAGACGTTATCCCATCTAACTGGTCACAATCACTTATCGTCCCAATATATAAGAGAGGGTTAAAATCATCCTGTGATAACCATAGAGGGATTAGTTTGACTAATATAGTATCTAAAATACTAGCCTCGATAATTATCAGACGCTTAACTAAGACTCGTGAACTGATAACACGAGAGAATCAAGCTGGCTTCAGACCTGGTCGTGGCTGCATCGACCACATATTCACCATTCGTCAGGTTCTAGAACACAGGCATACTTACCGGCGTCCAACAATGGTGGTCTTTCTTGACTTAAAAGCAGCATTTGACTTGGTAGACCGCGAGATTCTGTGGCAGTGTCTGTCATTGAAAGGCGTACCTCAGAAGTACATAAACCTTGTGAAGGCTCTTTGCTCGAACACTACCAGTCGAGTCAGAGTCAGATCACCGGGTAAGTAATAGGGAGGTTAGACGCAGGGTATTAGGGAATGATGATAAATCAGTCGATGAGGTTGTGAATCTTCATCGACTGAGATGGTTGGGCCACGTGTTTCGTATGCCTGAACACTGATTACCACGACGTGCAATGCTAACCGGTGTTCGGGATGGTTAGAAGAAAGTTAGAGGCGGCCAAACCAAAAGTAGCATCAGTACTTGAAGTCACTAACTTCTAGTTTGAGCCATGTTGGTAGATGCAGACTACTTGGTCGGGGTCCACGTGACTATCGTAACCAATGGTTGAAGACTCTTGGTGACATGGCTCAGAATCGATCACAATGGCGTAGGTGTATACACTCTCTGTCTTCTCTTAAACTAAGAGATTAAAATCGTTTCATATCTTTCTTTCTACGAACTAATTTTTTCCTCCTGTACTATATCCTTATTGCAATCTTTCTTTTATATATTACCACCATTGAATTAACTACTTTTATGAATCCGATGTTCATCTTGCTGTGCTAATGAGGTATGCCAACTTGGACCGATGCATATATGTGCCTGGTCCTACGTTGTACCTGACTGACTGACTGTTTGTGTAAGTTCGAGTTATTAGTAGTTGATATTAGGTGTTAATTTGCTTTTATATGAAGCAAAAATAAATGTGCAACTTGAAAGTTGAAACTGCTTCTGAACCGTCGATACGCAAATAAAATGAGAACCATCAAATACATAATTGTAATGCTAAAAGATCCCAATTAATTTCCGTCAGAATAATGATCCATATGAAATAAACAGGTTGGACAGAGATAGGATCCAATTACTTTTGACAATTTATGTGAAGCTGCAATTCCAAAGAAAAAAAACACTATAACACCGAACCAATAAGATTTAGGATAGCGGCTCGATCGTTTTTTTTAAGGAATTCAAAACGCGATGACGGACAACTTGTACTTAATGGAATGCTGAGTAAAACCGACCAATAGGAAGTTACTATGAAAAATAAAATTGATGAACATGACAGGACGAAATTAAGCAGTTTTTAAGATGACGAGTGAGTGAATAATTTTTCATCGAAGAATGGTGGGAAACAAATAGAGTTGAAATGAGTATAACCATCATGGATGAATTCTTAAAGTAACTAAAAGCTTCTCCACATTTTAATCAAAAAACTATGTACATAACTATTTGTCAATGTGAATAAGTGTTACTCAAACCCTGTCTTAATTCCTAACCTTTGCCTTACAATGGTTTATAATAATAAACAGTTCACCAACCATGTTAAAACTGTTGGTCCTTCGTGAAGATTTTGCTGTTATAATGTGAATTCTGTTGAATCTAAATGCTATTTCTTGATTGGCCAAAATCAACCAAAGTCGGCGTTATACTTTAGCAACGATTGGTTATGAATCATTAGGACTAGAAGACAATCAACTACGCGAATACATATAACGGTTACTGAAAAACGCAGTCATATGGAATAGTAACAGCTCATAACCCAGTCTTCTAAATAATACTGGTTAATAACTAACGTAAAGGTCTGACGCTTTAGGAAAATAAGAATATTAAGCGGAACATGGTTGATTTAAAGCAGGTTTCCGGGTATAAAAATAATCAACGTGAAAAAGCCAACTAAATGAGAGTAGATTCGGTTTATTCAATCGGGAATAGAAATTTTCGAAGCAAACAATTTTCACATTATTCACCGATGATAAGTAAGCTGGACTGAATGCACCAAAAGATGAAATATACCTCATGTAAAAACATTTGAAAAAATAGTTATGGCTAATTACAAAAAGAAAGAACTATTGAAGAAAATCAACAACTTCCAAGGGTTAGAACAATAAATTATTCGGTATATTAAAAATTTACCTAGATTCACATCATATTCTGAAATATTAGGTATTTGATGCGTTACTAACTCCATAAATTTCAACCAATCATCCAATAAACATTGTGAACATCTCAATATCGAAAGTGGCAGACGTGGAGCACATGCAAACTGTATAATAAGCGTTAATATTAAACGCGCAATTAATCTATGTCGAGGGAAGTGACCTGTAAATGGTGAAGCAGGATCAGTAAATCTTTCTACAACATCAATAATATCATAAGCAGTGTGGTAAACTGGTGCATTGTATAAGCCATCGTCCTATAACAAAAAGAAAGAAACGTTAATGGAATAAAATAAAGCATACACTTGTTAAATTATAATTACAGAAAACGCTTAGCTTACAACTAATTACTTTGTAACTTGATTCTATCAATCAAATCAAGATAAAACATTATATCAATCAAAGTGAACTAAGCCATACATTCTGTTCACTTGAAAAACAAATCTCTTTATTAAGCTCTATAGAAATGATGAACGTTTTAGAGAACCGACAAATATACTCATTCCGAATATCTTATTAACCCAGAATAAATTAACGCCATTGTCCTACGCTGATTAAATCAAATAAACTTCTAATGGAAAAGATGGGGGAATGTTTTGACCCTCAGACTATAATTTTCCGCCTAATATAAACGAGATGAGGATGCAAGGGACATTAATCTTTTTGAGTTGGCCACGATAACAATTATTAGTGTGACCTTTATAACATAGCTGCCCAATATAACTGCTTACCATAACTTATGAAATTATATGCTGTGGCCTTTACTTAGTTTATCTTTTTGTGAATCGTGAAAGTTTTTTGGAAGGTTTTATCTTCTCTTACCCTATTTTTGTGCAGCTGTCAAGATTGAAGTGTCGCATTTTTCAATTATATACTGACTATTAATAAGTAATACGGTATAACACAAACAAAAAGCAAACAGAAAAAAAAAGTTTAAAATTTCTACCAACAAATTACTAGGACGATTATATTGAAAAGTTGCAAATACTAAGTAACCTATAATTAACGTGAAAATCAAAAGGGTAGATTATTCTAAATAATTATTCTTCAAATAGTACAATTGGTCGATTAATTGATATTGTATACAAAAACGTCACACTATTAAAGATTTCCCTTTACAGTGTGATCTTGGGTAAGATAACGAGTGAATGCAACTGTGCCACGGCGACTGCGTTTAAACCATGTCACCCAACGTTCCATAACCACTAAACACGGTTATTGATCGGACTCCAACCAGGTCATCTGTTTCTAACAAAATTGCTCATACCAACAGCCAATAACTTCGTGGACTAATGCCACATCATGACTAGGCCGCTCCTAGCTTTCTTCCAAACCGCTTCTACAACAACAAACATTGTCCGTCAAGGTAGGCGGAGTTTAGGCATACGTAACACATGTTCTGAACACTTCAGTCGATGAAGACTTACAACCTCACTAATTGATGTGCCACCTTCGTCTAGTATACTATGTTTACCGATGACATCGGTCACAAGGTTATTCAATGATCCTTGAGGAATGTTACGAAGACACAATCATATGTGATATATAACCAATAATTTATTACAACACAACTCATTAAACTACGTTAAAGGTTTCAAATCTAATGAATTTATCGATCAGTACAAGAATGGCGTTTAAATGTCAAACAGTAAACAAACTTACTGGTAAAAACTCTGGATATGTTGATGGAATCCCTAAACGATAGGCAAAAGGTATATGATCCGATCCACCACCAAGAGATGTGATTCTAGAAGAACACTGACCAAAATAAATAGTTAGGAGTGTATTTTCAGAATTATAACATCATTTCCATTATAAGTAATATAACAGTTCACAATAATAACAGGAGTAGGAAATATATTATCACTAGTCATGAAAGATAAAAAGTTAGAGGTTATAGAACTAAAACATTGCTTATGAAACTAATATAAATAAAATGTTAGAAGAGTAAGAAATTAGCGAAGCAGGCCATTATTGTTAGTTATGTTCACAAGTGGATGTCTTATATTAGAAGAGAATAACTAGTAAAGAAGTTAAATAAAATTTAGCCAAACCATAAAGTAAACGATCGCCACTGTAACAATGTGACAAAGTTCACGCTTTCCATGGTTGAGAAACCTTAGTGACTTGGCTTTAAATCGTTTACAGTGGTCTCGACCATTTAAAATATGATCATTCAGCAAGTTCAGAACCGTCACACTACTATATACGTAAATTCTTCCTACATAATTACAGTCAGCTTTTATTAAATATTATTCCAATTTTTTCCGTCTATCATGTGAAACTGAAATTACTGTCATTGCGCAAGTTCTTGTATTGACCAATCAATAAGATTTTATAGCTAAGCTCATTGTAACTAAACCTTTTTATTTCATGAAGTGTCGAAAAAAATCGCATTTATATTGTAGTGAACAGAACACGGGTGAGGACAGTCGAATGCATTTAACACAAAATTACAGGACTTGTTAATAAAATCTAACAATCATAAAGTAAATGCTTAATTTGCAAAATGTCCATCGATTGTCTCAAAATGACTCAGACTTCAATGTTCATGCATTTTTATACAAATTGTATTTTGTTTCCATTCTTTACTGTTCGATCCTCTTGTATCTTTGCTTCCATACCTTCTGTTTACGACTAACATCACATACTACTTATGTCAATATAAGTAGCACATACCACAACACGAAACGATCTCACACGTGAATGTGTAACATCAACAGTGATAATGAGACACTCTCTTTACCCATCCTTGGCATAGAAGTTCTAGAATGAACTCAGAATCCAATTTTCGAACCTCGAACCACGTTCGTAGATGACGTTATTTTATAACACCATCTAAGTCAAGAAATAACTTCTATTCCCTAATTGATATATGAAAGTACCAAGCGAAGAACCTCATACGTGAATTTGCTATTTGTTATCATACAATTTTATTTGGTACGATATTAATTTTATATTTTCCAGTGTAACATTACTTCAGGTCAATATGTTTGTACCAATAAAGTGAGAATTTCGTTCAGTATGACAGGTGTGAACTTCCGACTAGCATGACAATCATATTTTTAGTAATATTTTATGTATATGTTTTACAGTAAGTCTGTTTATCCTTTAACCCATATGGTGTTTATTGACCAATAAACTATGTAGAATTAGTACATAAATGAGTGTAGCTGGTTAAATGATGTTTATTTAGAGTCAATAAGGTCACCCATTTGCGCCAGCATGTTGTTTTTACTTAGAGCGACGTGGGGATCGCAATCGTTCCCGTCCCCAAATATAAACAGCAGAATAATGGATGCAACAGATTTGACATACACATAACATAACAAAATAGTAACAATGACTATTCAATCGACAGAATACCCTGAAGCCGTTATCAAACACACATAGGATAGAACTTTCTTGTGCCTGAATTACTTTCTACATACAATGAAATTAAAAGAATTTGTTTATTACTTCTCATGTTAAAAAATACCATTGAAACAGAGAAATCTATCCAAACTTACACAGGTTCATTACGATCACTAATCTTATTATTTAACCATTCGTCATAGAATGATTGCATATTTATTGGTGGATCAACTGGAACTAATTTTGCAGCATTTATAAGACTATCAATTAATAAACTATCGGTTCGAGCTGAAAAAGTTTTATGACCTTTAACTGGACAATCTGAATTGATGTAAACAACACATCTAGATAATAGTTCATATTCAGATTTATGTACAAAATGTGTTGAACCCAAGACAGAAAATTCCTCTCCATCCCAAGAACCAAGAATTATCGTACGACGAGGTTTGAAACCTTTTTCAAAAACAGTAATACATAATGTTCACTAAATGATGACATGCATATATATATATATATATATGAATAACCTGTTTCTTAAACTTCATCATATTTTTTGTGTAAAATCTAACGAGAATGAAGTACTGACTTGTAAAATGAACTCTTTTACCCGGAACCATATAAAGTACTGTGGATTGATACGGAATTGTTAGTAATAGTAAGCTGCTTAATAAAAATTGGCCACTGTTACAACTTATAATTGTTGCTGCAATCTACAAAGATATAGACTAATTTGAATCTCATTAGTACACGTCGTAATGCTAAAAATAAGACTACAAGGACTTTCTGATTTAAATGGTGATACGAAGGGTAATCTAGAAAAATTCATTACTCATGTAGAAAGAATAGAAGCCTTGTAATTTCATTCGCTTTATACCATGAATTATTATTACAAATCAATTCTTTAAATTCCCACTGCCTATCAACGAAACTTTACTATTTTGAAGCGACTGGGTGGGACTTTATTGATCAAACATCATCATCTGCTTTAACACAAAGTTTTTGATGATAAACTAACAATGATTAAGAATTTATATGCAAGAATAGTTATATATCTACATGCATAATACAACAGAAATAAATAATCTTACCGTTACGATAAGCCTCGCCAAGAATTCGAGCGATTTCTTGTAAAATCACCATACCTGATCCTGGATCACAAGCGCCTTGTACCCACGCATCATGATGATTACCCATAATTACATATTGATCAGATTCAGTTGAAGTAGGTGTCATTTCACCCGGCATTATACCCACTACATTACATAACTTCACTGGGTTTTTAGAAACTTGATTATGTACTACAACTTTCAAACAGCTATAATAAAGAGAAATAAACAAACAATAGTATGTACGTTCACTTTTTTAAGCTTTTTAGTCAAGGTTACAGGGTGTAACAATCCTACACTGTTACACTAAATATTATTAGGAATTGTAAAATACAAAGATATAATTCTACCTAAACCTACATTAACATCAATCTATTTCTTAACAAATCAAAAAATCTAAATTGGAAACTTATAATGGTCTACAAGTTAATTATATATATATTGAATCTTACTGAAAATACCCAATTAAGCGGATTTGTGAAATTTAGAGAACAATGTAAGATCGTCTGACAATCGGTAAGCTGAAGAATTGAAAACAATCTCAATTTTTATAAACGAATGCCTAATTTGGAAAATTTACAATCAGCTAACATTAGGTGACCTAGGCCTGCATAAACAAGAAGCTTAAGGTAATCATATGAATACATTGAATAGGTAGACGAACATAACTGACAGTCATTTAGATCTGAATATGAATTTACCGGTTGGGGCCAGAAAAATAATAATTCTGGACTTTGGGTAGGACACCTTAAAGTCTGACAGTGGGGCAGATTAATTCGAAATCTATCTCCCACCAAATTACAAACATCCTATGATCTTCATAAACCAGCTACATCAACTTCCTTTTTCTTATCTTAGCTTTGTAATATGATTGGACAAGCTTGAGAAAAAATGAGAATAAGTCATTACCAAGATCATGGATGGACTGCGTGGAGGAAACCAGATAGGATTAAATTCAAACATAGACATTCACCGCTAGTAGTAGTCCTCTAAATCAAACCACATTCTATAAAGAACTGTAAATTCAAAACGTGGGATGAAGTCTAAAACGGGAAATATAACTTAGTAATCCAGCAGAGGTTTGCTTACTCTGAACCATACTTATGATCCGAGCACTCGAGGTACTAACTAGATGGAAAACAGGGAGAAGTTGAAGTCGGATGTAAAAACGAGAACTGATAGCTGAATGATGTGTCTAAATACACGTCAATATTTAGGGTTTCATAAACTAAACTTTCGACCACGGACCTAGCCACAGAAGTAGTACCACTATTACGCACACTGTAGAATAGTTCGTAATTTATTCAGCATATCCGAATACCCTAACCACAAGTTATAATTTACAAGGTACTATTTCATGTTCAGTAGTACTGTAAGCCATCAATTAAAATATGTGGAATTACTTTTGGAAAATATCAGTGAGAATGAAATTCTTAGCCATAAAAGTATATGAAAAGAAACAAAATAACATTATATGAATAAAGCATCAACCAAACCTACTCATAGAATTAATAAATTGTTATATGGTTACATTCAACAGTAAGTTAACCGTTTGGACTGTCTTGCTGTTTCTCAAAGTAGTCAGAAATCATCACTAGCCTTCCTTTCAAATCTAACCACCTATCATTCCATCAAAGTGTTATCACTGAGTTAACTGATACTCTGAGGGACTGAGTATTTGAACAGAGTGAGATAATCAACCACAAGAATAGTAACAAAATCATCACCATGCCTCTAACTGATACAGCATAACATACGCATGAACTACTTGCTTTATAAAGAATAGCTTTGAAAGCCAGTTGTCAAACATAGAATTACTTATATAACCTTACGTTTTAGTTGATGGTCCCAAATGAGTCGCCAAACGAGTATCCCAATCATTAGGGATAGTTGGTCCCTCTAAGCTCGATAGAAATATTTTGGCATCATCATAGCCAATAGGTTGAACAGGAATCTGTGTAAGGGCATCACCTTGTACAAGTGTATCAGTTCGATAAATATGGGCTGGAATCAAAAAGACAACATAAAACTAAGGTACGTTTTAAAAGTTCAAAATGGAAATTACGGCAAACAGTCAAGTAATTTAATTAAATGAAAAGATTTTCAAACGTTTAACTAGTTTTATCAACTGAAATGTCAGTAAATAAATTAATATTTTGATAAAACCTCAGGCCGTTATAATTCACCAATAAATTTAATATATATTGAAGAGCTAAAAAACACAAGAGAATCAAAATTATACACAAAAATTGTATGGGTTGTTCAGTTGGGTGACATTGAAAGTAGTGAAAATGTATTCGCTCTTTATCTTCCCTTAGATTCTTAATTTCATCTCATGTATTTTCATTTCACGAATTCATCCTTTCCTCGTAAATCATACCGCTAATAGCTTTTTGGAACTTTTTTACTACTATCGACGTTACTAATTATGACTACTCTGAAATTTATCTGGATAATTTCATACATTTGTGACAATGTGTTGTGGAAATTCGAACCGACGTACATTTATTCCAGGTTCTGTGCTGTATATGACTGACTGATATACATATTAGATTTTCATGAAAATTCTAATGCCTTTATTATTCGAAAATTCATCGAATATCACCAAAGACCCATATTTGAACATATTCCCTAGATAATTCATAGAAGCAACAGACGACAGAACAGCAACTTTCTGTATTGATATATCCACATCAACTTGATTCTGGTCAGAAAATGATAAACTAAGATTGTTCTAAAGAAATCCTTCAGTCGGTGGGTAAATATCTGAAATGCAAACAAATCCTAAACATTCGAAAATACCAACTCACGAAGTGATGGAAATCCAGTGCAGGTCGGATCACCACCGCCAGCATATTTCATATTCATATGACCAAATACAGGAGCATCCCCTGGTAACCCTTTCCCACTAGGATAAACTAGACCATTTACAGCAAAATCTTGTGGATCAGGATACAGAATAAGAGCGCCAGGATGGTGGTCAGGAAGTGAAGTATTGTTTTGACCACAAGTGCAATGTTCCATTAAATTTTTTAACTTGGATTGTCGAGTTCCGTTGCCCAGTCTGGCAATTACAATGACATTCCTGTTGCATATATGACTAGGTTCACACTTCTTTCGGCCTTGCAATTTATCAAACAACAACAAATCCTTACGTCTTGCATAGTTCACAAATACAAAATATCCAAACGACTCACCAGAGCATGAATAAGCCTGATAAACAGGTAATTGGTTACTGCAGGAGTTGTCAACAGTTACATTTGGAGAGCAGATTTCAGATTTCGATGGAACAGTAACTATAGATGTAAAAAATTATTCTCCAGAATATTTAGAAAACCAACGTGTTTTACAAAATATTTAAGGAACAGTGAAAAATATTGATAGAAATAGAAACACGATTATTAGTTTACACTAGTTAAATTCAATATCCCAACCCAATTAACTAGACGAATAATTTGTTTACGTTCATCATTTTCAGGAAAAATAGATATTGATGAACAAGGATTACTTAATCACAATCGTGCCCAGTGTAGCACACAGTAATACTCTAGCATTGTAGTGAAGGACATCACAAGTAAGGATATCCGATATATTTTTAACGCAAAATTACAGAATATATTGGTAAAATATGAGAACAATACAGTGAATACTTAATTTGCAAATTTCCATCACTTGTCCCACAAATTCTTTATGATTCTTCCACTTTAAAAATCCTTTATATTTTCCCTTTTATTCTATTCAACTCGATTCCCTAAGCCTTCTACTGCCAGATTTTCTACTTACGGTTGGTGTTACATACTACTTATGTCGACAGACTTAAAAATACAATATGTGAACGGCTTGGTGTATTCATCGTAACATTGAACACAGCAAAATGACGTTAAAGTAATCGGGAAATGCAACTTAATTATGAATTCATGTCTAAAATTACAGAACAAAACGTTAACAAAGTACTTAAAACATGTACACTTCCCATATTTAACTTTAAATGTCTTCATTTAACAAATAGAGACAAAACCTGGCTTCCCGAATCGCAGTAGAAAAAGCAGTTTGAGTCTGCGGTCCAGAAACCGGAATCCTCAAACAACTAAACTACAGCTTTGTCATTTGCATATTACCCTACTAGTATTGTTTTAAACACTATTGTTAACATCTTTTGAGAAAGGTTTTTCTCACATGTTCGCCTGATGAATATTGGTCATTTTTATATGGTAGTCACGAGTGCTTATTACACTGACGAATGCCTTATACAACCACAAATAACTGTTACTTAAGTCCCATTAAGATGAAAACGCTAATCAGATATGATCAGTCAGTCAGTAACAACGTAGAACTTCGTACGTACGTACATCAGTTCGAGTTGCCACACCACATTAGCACAGAGATGCAGTTGTCGATTCAAATCCCGTAGTGGTAGAGGTAATAAGAGTATAAGCAGTAATCGGGAAGGTTAGGGTTTGGAGATGTTATTTAAAGAGTATAATCCAGTGAAATAAATTTGGAAAGAGGAAAAAAGGGACATGAAGAATTTAGAATATTAGAATTTGGGAGAACACAGAGTGGATGCACCTGCGCCATTGCAAACGATTTTGAGCCATGTCATTCAGGGTCTCTAACCATCGGTTGCTATCATCTCGCGGTCCCCAACCAGATAGTTTACACCTACCAACATGACTCAGTTCACTTGTCAGTGACTTCATGAACTTGTGCCATGTTTTGGTTTGGCCGCCCCTAGCTTTCTTCCAACCTACTCCTATACCACTGAACATAGCACGTCGAGGCAGTCGGTCGTTGGGCATACGTAACACGTGTCCCAGCCATCTCAACTGATGAAGTTTCACTACTTCATCAATGGATTTGCCATCCTTACCTAGTACTCATTTCCTAACAACTGTGTTACTTACTCGATGGTCCCATGATATACGAGCAATGTTTCGAAGACACTTATGATCAAACACTAGTAGCCTACGGATATCCTCTACTCTTACCGGCCATGTTTCACTGCCATAAAGTAGGACGGAACGAACTGCTGCGCAGTAAACACGTCCTTTGGTTGATAGACGGATATCTCGCCTACGCCATAAATGACGCAAGTTGGCAAAAGCTAGTCGAGCCTTTTGTATCCGTGCTGAGATTTCGTCACACACTAAACCACAAGGGCTGATGAGACTTCCAAGATAAGTGAAGCGGTCGACACACTCAACTACTTCACTCCCTATCACTAGTTCGGGTGTCGATGTAACCCAATCCTGAAGCAACATTTTGCTTTTCGAGGGGAGGGGAAATCGCATCCCGAACATGCTTGCATTGTTGCTTATGTGCTGATCAGAAGACTCTGTATTTTTTCATTGTCCTCACCAAACAGAACTATGTCATCGGTATATTCTAGGTCAAAAAGTGAATCTCCCGGTAGAAGTCCAACCCCTGGAAATTTAGATGAGAGTGTTATCTCTAAAAGTACGTCGACCACAAAGTTGAACAAGAATGGGGAGAGTGGACAGTCCTGACGAACACCACTTGAGGTAATCAATTCTGATGACAGTTCGCCATAAGCTCTTACTCTACCAGTTGTGTTCGAGTAGAGAGCCTTTATAAGGTTAATGTACTTCTTTGGTACTCCTTTCAGTGACAAACACTGCCATAGAACCTCACGATCAACAGAGTCGAATGCCGCCCTACGGTCGAGAAATACTACCAATGTGGGGCGTCTGAATGTGTGTCTGTGTTCTAGAACCTGACGTAGTGTGAATATCTGATCTATACAACCACGTCCAGGTCGAAAACCGGCCTGGTTTTCTCTAATCTGCTCTTCACGACCTTTGATTAGGCGTCGAAGTATTATTGAAGCTAATATTTTAGACACTATATTGGTCAAACTGATTCCTCTGTGATTGTCACAAGAGGACTTTTGTCCTTTCTTATAGACTGGCACAATCAGTGATTGAGACCAGTCAGATGGGATTACGTCCAGTTCCCAAATTCTACCTAAGACCTCGGTTAATCTCATTGCTAATACTGGACCACCATCCTTAAAAATCTCAGGAGTAAACCTGTCAGGGCCTGCTGCTCTCCCTCGTTTCAAATTTCCTATGGCTTTTTCAACTTCGTAAAGAGTCGGAGAACCTACATTAACTTGCCATTCAGGTTGACTGGAGATCGTGGGAAACCGAAGTGTGACTGAAGGCCAGTTGAACTGATACCCAAAGTGTTCTGCCCATCGATCCAATCTCCTGGATTGAGATTGTATAATATGTCCAGCCGGGTTCCTAATTCCGGTTTCCTTAACGAGTCTGAACAATTGTCTGCTATTACCTATTGCCGCTGCCTTTTCCATCTCTCTTGCTTTCGCTACCCACCACTGTTCGCGATCATTGCGTAGACTTCTTGTCAGCTTGCGCTTAAGCTGACTCCGCTCTTCATTATGTTCAGAGCCAGGTGGAATGAGTTTCCGAGCATCTATCAGTGAGATAGAAGGTCCGAAAGCTTTCTGTAAAACTCATCTTTTACATCATCTGAGCTGCAGTCAGTGGGAGAATAGGCAGAGACGACGAAGAGGCAACGACGAGTGTCCCTATCTTTCCGGATTCTTACTGTTCCGTTCAGTCGGACAGCGCACAAACGACTGTCTACTGGGATCCACTCTAAGAAAGCTAGTTCTGCCCTAGGACTCAATGCTATACCTACGCCGGCGAGGCCACGGGAAGCAGAATCAGGGCTTCCAGATACACGAAGCGTAAATCGAGTCGGTTCTTTATTTTGGCATGGTGAGGTCAAATGAATGACGCTACTTGGATCCTGTATGCGCGTTTCGGAGACGCAGCACACATCGATGGCACGAGATTCTAAAGTTTTAGCTAAGGAAGCCTGCTGTCCTATTTGGCAAAGTGTTCGTACGTTAAAAGCTCCTACATGTAGTTTAGAGCGTGGTTTCAGAAGACCAGGAATGGCGTTCCACGTACTCGAATCGTTTGCCCCAGCGGTGCGAGGTGATAAAGAGACATGAGGAGGGTTAGTCGGGGAGATAAGAGAGGTATTAGGAGGTGTAGGAAGGATTTGAATGTGACCACCTTGGTCTCTTGTGCTGTTACGGGTATGAGGGCTGATGTCACTTCCCGGCTGCCCATACCGTGGAAGGGTATTTCTTGAGGAACCTGAAAAGGAAATTGGATTAGTGTTGATCTTGATGACCTGGGAGCGTGACCGCAGAGCCCAAGGGACAACTGCTTGAGGCCGGTCGCGCACGGCCTTTTTGTGGAAGGTTTTTGATGTGTTAGCCCCGTTCTTTAAAGGGCCTTACCGCCGGAGACGGAAATCCGTGAGGTAAGGTGAGGTGTGACATTTTTAGGGTCGACCTTTTCTAACCCCACCCCTCCTTGTGGGAAGGCAGCATCGCTGTCATGCTGGTTGTCCGAGGGAAACACCTTACTGCTGTCACACCTCTCTACAGTCAGCAGTACGACTTCGCCCTCAGACCTTGAGTTGCTGCTTTTAGTCTTACCGTTCACCAATCGACCTGCCTGGCATGGTAGAACCTGCAGGAACATATGTTCCAGCCAATATAGCTCGGTTGCGTCATCACGATAGGCAAGCCCGACCACTACGTCAAGGTAGCAGCTTCGATCGGGATATGATACAAGTTAAAAAGCCAATGGACAATGATTATAGTGGTATAGGTGACAAGAGATATTATTATTTACTATTACTATTTGATATTATTTTCTTACATAACTGTCGCAGAAAAAACAAGTTAGTTAACACTTAATCAGTATTATATTTAAAAAACGACCCCATTTTTTGCTTACTAAGACCTGTAAACCGTTGCATATTGTGGTCGTATATGTTACAACCTGAATCAAATAATATATAAATCAAAACTATGAGGGACTCGTGAACATTCTTTCTGCACTCTGATTGTACGTTTAAACAAGGAACACAATAGTAGTGTATTAAACAAGTAGAAATAAATTAACGAAGGTAAAATGATTTGTCACTGATAATGTAGCATATAGTACAATATTTACAACCGACAACTTGTAACAAAGATAACAATATATTTCAACCTTCGATTCCTGTGATTCATCAAATAGAAATAATTTCACAGGATTTCTAGAACTTAACTAAGTATTATCGTATAGAACATATATTGTTGAGCTATACATTAGGTAACAACCCTCTATGAATGGGTGCTACTGAGGAGCCAAATACTAGGATGAGACAGCTGTCCAGTGATACCTGGTTTTTAAGTTTTCCAAGTCATGTCGATTAGTAATCTCAATACTGAAATGTTCGACGAACCATCAACAAATAGACAAGATTTAACCATATATCTAAATGCATAACTACTAATTACTCTGGAGTACGGATATATTCTACGATGTTATGCCTTTTTACGGACATCTCTAATGAAAAATGTTTACTAAAACGATCAAATCATAGATATGAAAATGTAGAAACTCACCACTATTTTGAGCTCTGTGTATGACTTCGGTGCCATCCGAGTTGGTTAGAAGAACCTCATTCCATGGACCATTCTCAGGAGGGCCCAAAGGAAGAGTAACATAAAATTCTTGTCTGTCAACAATAGGCCAACCCCATTCTTTCCAGCTCCTTTCTATGAAGTCTACAATATTGACAATATTTTAGACAATAAATAAATCGAACTGTAATACCAGAAATAAATATCAATCAATTTACAATTGTGACCTAGGAACCAAGTGCATAATTACGTGAGGGTGACACTAACAGCCTGTTCAAATTAAAGCAGGTGGAGAGAGGTTTAAAGGCAAGTACCGATGACTATGTGAAATAATAGTGAGTTAAAAGAAAGCTCTGGAGTACCAAGCAAAGATAGTATCAATCCACGAAATCGTTGCCCGTTGATTTATGTCACGTTGGCAAGTGTAGGCTACTAAATCGATTTCCATCCGATAAACATAACATGTAGCTGGAAACCTTGTGATATGACACGATTTATTTAAACATATAAACAATGGTATAAAAGGCATCAAACACATATGCGCCACGCAAATCATCCGATGTGTGAGGGCTAGAATACTACCCGCGCGCCCGAACCGAAACAGGTAGTTTTCTTAGGTAGCCACACCCTAAGCCTTTGACCCACGGGAGATGCAGTCCCATGGTAGCCAGTGACCAATAATTGGTTCATACGCCGCTTGTTCCCTCAGGAGTCCAAATGGATCATTGGTTTGGAACCAGGGTTTCTCAACTCCCCTAGGTGGATCCTCCATATCCACCGACCCGAATAAAGCTCCGAATATTTGCTTTTCGTCCTCTCAATTTCGTAAACAACACCCCCACTGCTAGAGGATAGTGGATAGGGCTTTTCTGGCAGTAGCTGTATACGCGTTGCCATGTAAGAGCATTTCGAGGAGAGGTGATTTCCCCCATCCTCGACCGTAGGGGGGCACGAAATCAGTCACAGTGGCTCAGATGAACTTTTAGCTAGGAATTTAATCAGTAATACAATCTATGAGTAGATAAGAGAAACGAATTTCGTGCTGCGATAACAAATGGAAATTACATATAGTTAGGTGTATAGTTGCAGCTACGATATGCTCCCCATAAAAACCACCCGTAAACTTGTCTCTTTATCTACAGATTTAATTTAAATTAGGACGCATACATGTGTAAGTTCCCCTAACGTACTTCAAGCAAACTTGAGAATTTCAACAATGTCTAAATACTTATTATAATTTTGTAGCCATATGACATTACTAAATCCAAGTGTCTCATTGCACGAAGCGATGAACAAAAATTACTAGTATGAGCCAGCTTAATTAATAAGTGTGAAAATATAGTGGCTTGAGAAAATTTAAAAAATGCAGTAAAATGTATTTACTTGCTATCTCGTAATTTCCTTTGCTGCCAGAACAGTGAGGGTTGCCACCGCATAATTTATGCATGTATTCCAATAAAAAAGTATCCGACACATTTTTACACAAATTTTGTGAGATTTCTTGCCACATTATATACGAGGAAAACCCGTGTTCACTTATCTTTTGTTTTATTGGTTCCAAAAGGGTGAAAAAAGAACGATGATTCAATACTTTTATACTCATACGATGGAATATTGGCAAATTAATAAACGCAAACTACTTAATAACCAATACTGTATCCAAACTAAACTAAAATATTGAGCCTAAAATATTTATTTAGGTGAATTGAAAATAGTAAGAACGTACAGGTAAACCACTTATTGTCCGTATGACTAGCAATATTATTAAACAGGTGATTGATTCACGCTGACAAAATTAGATGAAAACAGGATGACTTTGATGTTGTTTGTTACCTACTCTCAAAGTTGGCTGAAATTATACGCCCTCAGACTTAAGTAAAATCAGATCGTTTGCTTCTAAAACTCGATAGCCTCCAACCCAAATAAAAAAGGCTCGAATATTTCAACATCATGATTTATCACTACAACATAAAGCTAAACTGCACATAGGAAAATCAGTACCCAAATCTCATTGTAAATATCTTCAACACACGAACACTTACACTATCCGGCAAAATTAATAGAAAAATATATAATAAGACCGTGTTATAGATAGCACATTGACAAAACCCATATATCTTTTATGAAGATACTGTAAAGTTTAGAGGGGACGACGGCGGTAATGTAGCGTTGGTCGAGTTTATTACCTGTCTTGAAGAATTTATATCTCCGCAAAAGTCTATGTGGAGGTTAAATTTTGCCAAAGTCTAACAATATGTTCTCAAAGTCCAACTTTACTTAAGATTAATTTATAACCTATTAAACGGCATTTCCCATTCTGCAAATTATTATCAAACACCTTCAATCCACTATATTAAAATGAAAAAAATATGACTAATGTAGGAATAGTTTATTAGAAAGTTTGTACTTTCCCGTTTTGATGTTAAGGACTACGTTTGATTAATTTCTGCTGACAAATGTAGATATTAAGAGAACCCCTCGATATTACTAAATGTTAAACTTTTCCGTATATTTTTTTGGATATTAGCTAGCATTAGAATCCAAAACGTGCTACCTTCTACTTGAGACTGGACGGTAATTGAATCCCAAAGTTGACGTAACCACAACTATCTGGTCAGGGTTCATATATATCAGTCAGGACGACTAGGTGCAATCCTGAATATTAACAACCTAATACTTGTGGGACAATTTAGAAGTTATCAGAACTCCGTTGCATACATAATGAACTGCTGATGCTTGAAGCGATATGCAACGGGGTCCAGTGTAAACACGAACAGTATCGGAGTCCTGGTACGTCCAAATGTTGAGCACCAAGAAGGAGGAAACTTGTTCTGAATCATAGCGTAAGAAACTAACTAAAAATACGGCAATATCTACCGACTTAACGTTTACGTTCAACCACAGGCAAGATATTTTACCTTGCAGTCCGAATGCCCTGGTACGGTCGAGGATGGGGGAAATCACCTCTCCTCGAAATGCTCTTACATGGCAACGCGTATACAGCTACTGCCAGAAAAGCCCTATCCACTATCCTCTAGCAGTGGGGGTGTTGTTTACGAAATTGAGAGGACGAAAAGCAAATATTCGGAGCTTTATTCGGGTCGGTGGATATGGAGGATCCACCTAGGGGAGTTGAGAAACCCTGGTTCCAAACCAATGATCCATTTGGACTCCTGAGGGAACAAGCGGCGTATGAACCAATTATTGGTCACTGGCTACCATGGGACTGCATCTCCCGTGGGTCAAAGGCTTAGGGTGTGGCTACCTAAGAAAACTACCTGTTTCGGTTCGGGCGCGCGGGTAGTATTCTAGCCCTCACACATCGAATGTTTCGCGTGGCGCCTTTCATACTGATATTTATGTTTAAACAGCAGTAGTAATGCTTATGATGATAGTAATAAAATCAACAGTATCTCACAGTAGATAGATTTGCCCAATATGTCATAAGATTGTGGGGAAATATTGGGGAAAAACGCGAAATCTTAGAGAATTTCCCCAGATCTGGGAAGATTTTGTGCCATATCCCCACCTTTTTGCAAAGCGACTTTCCAAAAATAAGGAACACGTAGAATTACTGTAAATACACTACTTTTTTAAAGACGATTGCCCGACCCGGGTATTTCTAACGTCTACAAGTAGATAGCCTGAAGGTCATTTTTCAAATCGTTCTAGGTGAGAACTGTTCGAATACTATTGGACGAAGCATCTAATACTTTTGTGACGACCTGGCATTGAATGACTGATTTTCTGTAGTTTCATTTTTTACTGTTTCCGAGAAAGGGCTGATTGAAATACAGAAAAGCCTAATTAGCTCAGTGATGAAATCTCGGACTACAATGCGCGATGGTGCGTGGTCGATTCTCTTGGAGATCATTAGATTCCTTAATATTTAAATACCTTTTTGTTGTTTAGTCGCCACTAACGTGAAAAATCTCGGACCCCATACATCGTTTATTCTGCTTAATAAAATAAGACAACTCAGAGTACGTGACAAGTGAGTTCAAAAGCCTAGAATAAATAAATTGCCCATGGAATAAAAGCTTTCATACCGATTCATCAAATTTTGGTACATATCAGGGATGCAGCGAATATGAGCGCGTCGCTGTGTAGCCGACCCATGACGTGAGACAGATCATCCTGACTTGGTTATCCTCTACCCTGATGATGTTTAATATGCAGTTCTATGTCCACTGATCTGTTAACGAATGAATAAACAGTTGAGATACAACAAGTATTCGGAGTTCGACAACGCCTTCACCAGTAACACCTTTATAATCGAAGTATACCAACTTAGTTCAATCATAAATCTGAAGCGAGTAGATTCGAGGATATATTTGAAAGGCTATCGATATCTCGAGAAGCGTTTGATCGAGGCTGGCTAATGGTTGTAGGATATGCGTACCATGGTGTACCCGTTCGTGATCTGCTGCAGATGCGTGACCGAGTGCTTTCAGCTAGGTAAGTCCAGTAAAACTAATGCGGTTAGCATCAAATGTTGAGGACTTACAAAACTATTTATTTTAGAAATTTATTTACCGCTACAACAGTTTGGCTTGACGAAACAAGAAGTACTGACAGAATTAAAGTCTCATCTTTCATTGGAGTGAAATAAACCATGTCAAAACCTGATGGATGCTCTTACAGACAATCTTGTATAACAATGACGTAAAGTACACAACCTTACCAATGTAGAAAGAGAACGCTTATTCAAAGTTGTGGCTCAGATATCAAAGAGCGTCTGGATTCAGTGTTACCATTAAGGGTCAGCAGTTATTTTATCATTTCCAACACCCGTGTAATAATCTTGTCTCACTCATTTGTTTTGGTCATTTTCCGATTAGTCGCAAGGGGTTATAACCCCAAGGTTGTTTGGCTGCATACTTTACCTCTAATAATAAAGCAACAAGCTGTTCTTTCTGTCTCTCATTTCAAATGCAGAACAGCCATACATAGGGTTTTACCCTATAAGTAATAGTAGGGTTGTAGGTCATTTACGAGATTTCCAGACAGGATATTCAGACCGCTGTTTACAATATTGAGTTAAGACCCGCGTGTTTGCTCATTGATTGATAACCTTATGAAGATCAGACACCTTGTCACTATAACTACACCAGAACAGCTTCTAAACGTGAATTCATTAAAGAAGCAGATGGTGAGTCAAACTATGTTGCTGATGCTCTGTCATGTATCCAAGTGAATGTAGTTACTTTACCGACGCTTGATCTCTCTGTTATGGCTGTCGCTCAAGCAAACGATCCCTCCTGTAGAGCAGCACAACATTCTACATCCCTTCAGTGGCGGGAAGTACTCCTAGCTACTAGTTCAGGTACTATTCCGTGTGATATTTTTACTAGTCTTCCCAGACCCATCGTACCCTCTGCTTACCGATATCTCGTCTTCGATGCCTTGCATGGACTGTCTCATCCAGGTATCGCAGCCAAAGTGCGCTACATCGCTGCACGATACGTCTGGATGTCTCTGAATAAAGATGTCCATATGTGGGTTAAGCAATGCTTACAATGTCAACGATCAAAAGTGCACAGGCATGTAGCTGCCCTCATTGGGACAGTCTTACGAAGGACCTTTTCACGTGATTTCTCGCCACGAAAAGACCTTCAAGGTTGATTGACAAGGCCGAGTCGAGATCGTCAGCATTGATCGTCTCAAACCAGCACACGCCGATGACAGTGCCTTACCTGATAAGTTGAGACCCAATATTAGACCCATCAAACCTACTAGCGGGATCCGTACATCTACTTTGGACCCCACACTAGACAAATCAGGGACCTCATTCTCATGCCCCAGTCAACAGCACGTGTCATCTGCACCACCTGCGGACAAGACTTTAGTCTCGCATCCAGATCAGCAGACCACGACGCCCTTGACTTCGGATGAGATTGCAGGTTCACGAAGTACGAAAGAGGCTACTGTCTTCCGTTTCGGTCGCCGAGTACGCCCACCCGTACGCTTTCGCGGCTAACCTCTCAATCAACAACGGATACGGTATAGGACTCTATCCGTATGCCATATGCATGCCACACCTTTCTCTATTTCTTTGATTTTCGATTCTGAGCCCACGCCCCCGACCATCGCCCTGTTGGTACCGTCGACTCCAGTCAGTTTTGGTGAAAGCTGGCCTAGTCACTCATGCTCTTGTCAACCCACTCAGTCGATGTTCTGGCTCCAACTATGTCTGGCATACTCATGGTCTCGAGCTTGGTTGTTATGGCTTCTTTGTTCAACGTGGTTCCGTCCTACGTCTGCAGAGCTGTCTGTTTCTGATCCCTACGAACGCAATCCTCAGATTCTAGATAAAAACCACTCTGGTGTGGTACGCTAACTCGAGCAATAAATAGAGCATGTTACTTCTAGTACGTCCCACATAAAAGACCTTCGGTGACAACTTGAGAATCAACGATCGATTCCTATTTTGCCAACTCTTTCATCCTACCATCGCACGTTTGCCGATTAATACCATGAACGAAATCGCTACTTATAGAAAGTGTAAACTCTTTCTAGCGAGAGGCCCCTGTAGTGACCTACTTTTATAAAGAGCACGCGATTGGTGTGATAGAAACAATTACTATTATAACCAACTGTACCAGTGATTGTTTCATTGTACCCGCTTGTTTAAGTGTACCAAAAACGACTCTCTTCTGTTGTTTGTGACCTTGCACGAACTCTCATACGCTCAGCAGTGTCGCTTGTAGACTTTGGCACGATCGCGTTATTATTTCTATACCACGACATCGCCAACAAAAACACTTTAAGTACAACCTTCAACTGTTTTCTGATATTTGGCCTACGGAGAGGTCCAACCTGTAACTGACACGTAGTCTTCCTGTAATGGTGATCATAGTCAACTGGGACTCGACGCCTACTAAAGATGCAAACTAGCCTTCTTATCACCCGACTACACGAAACCGTATCGTAATGACAAGAGGCGAGCACAAAAAGACCAATCGGTGTATGCAATCTCTTAAAAAAATATCAAATATCAAAACCTTGGATTTATTAAATAAACGATACATTCCCATTGGGACTGAACATAAAGGCTAGGTAAACCTTATGTATTACGGGTATTTTGTTAACACTGCTGGGACAAAGCAAATTAGACTGACTGCGATTTCTCATTAATTGGTAATTCCTTTGTACGTGAGGTGGGACCCTAACTTATAGACGACCTTTGGGAGACGCTAAGGTGCTCTTGAGAGTAAATTTCGCGCGAAAATCCAAGACCTGTTGGCTTGTAGTGACTTACTTTTATCACGAGAACACGATTGGTTTAATGAAAACAGTTATTATTATAACCAATTCACCAGTGATTGTTTTACTGTGCTCGTTTGTTTAACTGTGCTAGTGACAGACATATTGCGCTTTCATTATCCTCCATTATTATTTCGCGGTTAGTGACTCTGCTCGCACGTATTCCCTTCTGCTGCTTCTGCTTATACTATTTCTTGGCACGACCTTGGTATTCTTTCGATACCACGAGATCGCCAATCAAATAAACTTGGTTCTATTCCGCCTTCTGATTTTATCGGCACGTATTTCTCAGTAGCGTTGTTCATAGTCAACTGGGACTCGACACCACGCTACAATCTTAAATCTGATTAGTATGTCCACAAATTATAGTCTTGCCAGGTCAAATTGTTAGTGATGAGGTCTCAATGAGCTTCACAGACTAGAAAATATCCCAGCATTATTCTCCCACCAACTTCTCAGCTGACAGTATTCCGTTTAGTGGCTATCAGTGAACCAATTATTGGAATTACCAGAAGTTACAAAATAGTTTTCGGTAATTTAAATCCTCGGAATAGCATAGTGTGATCAGAATTTCAGAGCTCTGCAGAAAAGTTAGTTAACACGATCAAGCTACAAGCAACAATGAACTTAAAGTGTAGACTACAGAGAGAGACCAGTTAAAGTTCTTTGCAAAGATTTTGTGATAAAATTACAAAAAAGACTAGTAGAATATGAGAACACTTAATAACCAATACAAAGGACACGTAATCAACTTACAACAATTTAAATACGGAATATTTGGTTCATACCAAATCGTTCAAGATCGTTGAAACAAAATGACTGGGACTTTGAAAGAACTTTACGTTTGTACGTGCCAGAAGGTCTACACATATTTAGCCTGGCTCGGGGAGCTTACGAAAGGGTAGCATAGACTTCGAAATCATACCAGCCCATCAAGAAAGTTTCAGTCTGTACAGTTTAGGAGTGTTATTTCATCTATACGGTTTAAAATAAGATTTTGTAAGTTGGATAAATCTCATAATCAAAGCTTGTTCAAAAAAAGTTTAGTATGAATGTCGAACACCTATGAAATATTGATTTTGCTGAATTATTTGTTGCTACACACTTACATGTAGCCATTTCAGTGATATCAGTCCTAGTACCCATTGAAATATTAATTTTGGAGAGTCATGTAAGCAAACGGTCTACACAATCATTTAATTAGTTGAAATCACGCTGCAGCATATGTTCTGGTGTTATATATATATATATATATATATATATATATATATATATATATATATATATATATATATATATATATAACCAATGGGTAGAGCTCTAATTAGCACCTGAATACATGAAAGATTATATCAAGTCAACTGTGTCTGTATATGAGCATGAAGTTTATTAAAGTTTTGCA